AAAAAAATCAATAGTTTGAAGCTGAGATCACTGGCAACTTGCCACTGCTGAAAATGAAACGGTGAAATACAAACAGCGGATTTTCTTTGAAGACCAAATCCCTGCCTCACTTATTACACCTGAAACTCTGCAGAGAGTCAGCAAAGCAATATTTCCAGCCACTGTTTTATGGTCAAAGAGTGAATTAAAAAAGGGAGCCATTTAACGGGAGATCAGCCCAGCTCCCCCCTGACTTCCTGCATCTCCTGCAGTGTCTTTGCATGCCGCATATTTTAATCACCCATAACAGAGGCTCATTTCCCTTTCATTTCCAGCTACCCAAATTCCACATTTCTTAGGCATTACTAAGGCCAGCCCTGCACCTCACAAGCCAAGAGCGACTTCTAAACACTCTCTTGCGTGGATATAGATGGTAGTTTAAGTGTTTTTTTCATCCCTGTCGTTATTGCTCTCTGCAAGCCTTTAAAACCAGTTTCTGCCTTAATTTTTGGCAGGATTTAATCTCACTCATTGTTTCTGTTTGTAGTGAATTCAGTCCAGGATCTCACAACAGCGTAGCAGACATAATTAATACATACATGTTTTTTAGCCAGATCCTTTCATTTCTATTTGATCTAAGTTCTGGAACTCTGCATGTACTGCTTCCCCCCCAGAAGTACAGAAGATTTGCCCGCCCCCCTCCTCGACAGAACAGCATCACTGCTTGATTCGGCTTGATTCTATTCTGTTGGGTTTAAACAAACTGAGTGATTCAAATCATGCTAAACAGCATTTTGCATTCTGGCTATAATGCAATCACAGTATTCTATTAATTGAAGTAAGTAGATGCATTATTTACAATTAGCAAAATTCTAGTTTACTTACTTGAAAATTTCTACATCTACAATTATGGGTAATAATTATGAATTGTTTATCACAGTTAATGTTTTTTCATAATTGATTAATAATTGCTTATTTTAAATTAGAAATTAGTTCTTATTTATATATAACAAATTTGTTCAACGTGACTGGTCTTGTGACACATACAGCTTAATGTGATTCAAATTTAATGTGATGTGATGTCATTTTCAACCAACCAACTAAGCTCAAATGAAACCAAAGCCAGAGAAACGGCAGACGGACAACACTGGCAAAGCTTGCTAGAAGAGAGCAGGAGAGAAGGCAGTAATAAGGACCCTAATTACCTGTCCACTGCACTGATGAGCGGAGCAAGCTATTCCGAGGGGTCACCGCGGGGTCACCGGCGCATTAGGGAGCATTCCGGCATCACGGTGTAACAAGCAAGCCTGATGCCAAATGTCATCCGCACTCCAGGCCCCAGTCTGGGGGAGTTCAGCAAATACACACAACACAGCACCTCCTAGAGGACACACAATACACAACAACAGCAATTAAAGTCTACCTAGTATGTGGCACTGCCCCTAACAACACACTCTGGAATAAATCTGTTGGTACAAGACTCAGGATGGACTCTTGAAAAATGCGTCCAGCCTGAACTGGACGAGTAAAACAGTGTCACTGACATAACTAATGAATGCGGCACTGAATAACTGTTTTAACAGTGCTGTGTGATAATTAGCAAGCTACTTCTAAATGAGGGCTCATTAAGGATCACAGTGGTGTTCACCACTAATAGGACATGGTACTAAAAGGCTGTGAGATTTTGTGATTAAAAGCAGGGATGTTTAGCACCAAGCCCAGTTCTGTATTCTGTATTACATTTACCTCAGTGCATTGTCCATATAGTACTGTCAGAGTCCAGTGAAGAAGCACCACAGTCTACAAGAACTGTATCATCCGCAGAACCAGTGACGTAGGCGTGGGCGGTATAACCCACGAGTGATGCCTAAGATCAGGGGTGCAGTATGTGCACGGAGACCCCGGAAGATTCAGGGGTCCAGCACTTTACAGGGGCCCTACCCAGGGGCGCAGTAGGGGCACGGATACCCCGGCAGATTCAGGGGTCCAGCACTTTACAGGGGCCCTACCCAGGGGTGCAGTAGGGGTACGGATACCCTGGTAGATTCGGGGGGTTCAGCACTTTACAGGGATGCTTGAAAACCTAAAATTATCAAATGTAAGGGGGCCCAATATGACATTTAACACTTGCCTAAGATTATTTAAGTCAATTAACAGTATTCAGGTTATTTTAAATGGGTAAAATTAGTTTGAAATAGTCAGGCTGAGGAGCTAAATGGCAAACAGTTCTGCAAACCGGGACACACACCCACACACTCATGCATGTTAAACACCCCATGTGTGTGTGCGCCTCCTGGTGGATGCCCCAGCGAAATGCCTGAACACAGGCAATGGCCTCAGAGCAGCCAGAGATGACGCCTCACAATGAGCCGCTTCAGGGACGTGTCAGAGTCACAGAAATCGGGGGCCGCTTTGGCCCTTTGCATATTAAACACCTCTCCCGCCCCTGAGCCAGATACAGGGTACTTTAACGAAATGAAGAAGCATTTAATTAAGAAACAAAAAGAGAGAGGAAAACAGCAGCGTTCCAATCTGTGAAATAAATTGGGTGAATGGGAATGGTTTGCTGAAATGGAAAAGACCGGCCTGCAAATGAGAGGCGGCCCAAAGCTAATGCCATCGGCGAGCTGAACGAGGGACATAAAGCACGTGCCCAGCTAACAAGGCACTCTTCAAGTGCACTAAACATTTATCAGCAGCACATGTCTGCATAGCAAAAAATAAAGAAAAACAACCCAGAAGAAATATTGTCCTTTCTGTATGATATCACTAAGGCCCCGCCATGCCCCTGCTTCAGTGGTTAGAAGGATGGATGAATGGATGGATGGACAGACGGATGGATGGATAATTCAACTATGAAAGTTTTAAGATGTATTTCTTCTAAGGTGTTTCCAAAGAAAACTTTCTGTTTTTTGGGACTATAAACGTTATACACCCAGGGCCTGTATCATAAAATGAGATTTGTTGGTTAGCTAGATAACCTGCCAGATTTAATGTACCCCAGTTTAAACAGACTTTATCTTCGGTCACTTGCATTTAGCTCAGACTACCTTAAATCTGACATGTTCTTTCACTCACCCAAAAACCCAGCTTTTTTGATACCGGCCCCTGGTTCCTGCTGAGTGTGTTAGTCTTGTATTAAAAACTTGATAACACAAAAAAAAAACTTCTATGTGAAAACAAGACTGCATCCGATTAGTATTTGTGGGCCAGACGTCAACTTAATCTCTTGGCGGTGTTTATTCTGTCTCTGTTTGGAGGCCCCAGAAAGCTCTCAGCATCAGAAAGTGTCCTTCTTCCCTTCAGAGAGCGGTTCCAAGCAGCCAGAGCAATTACACTTCCTCTTTCATCAGCTGCGACAATACATTCACTGCTCTCAGATCAGCAGCCAGTCGTGCATTGCCTCGGCCCGCATTTATATTTAGATGTGGTCGTATATTACTCGGGATGATGCGATCTTGCGGAGTAGATTGGAATTTTTCACTGTCCTTTATAAAAATTAATTATTCTGTCAATAGGAAACGGCTGGTGAGCACTGAGCTCTGCACCCTCTACAAGTTTCCATTCCCTGCAAAAATGATTTTAATGCTTTTCGCAAAATGAATGGCCACTGCTGTTTCCATTATCTATTTAACAGCCTTTAAAAGCAGGATTTATCCCTGTAAATTAGGCCGCATACAGCAGAACACCGTCACGGGCCATAAACTTTAAGTCAATACGAGGCAGGACAACGTGGTCAGAGGAAGACATAGCGGAACGTGGGCGTACTTACAGCCCAACAGCATTATCAGAACGAAGCAGGGACAGTCACTCGGTCCACTGCAGCTTGTGATCGGAAGGTTGCCAGTTCAAATCTCAGGGTCGGAAAACTGATGTCAACCATTGGGTCCTTAAGCAAGACCCTTCACCCGGAGCTGCTCCAGGGACCGGTTGACCCTGCTTTGGATGAGAGCATCTGCACACAATGTGAATGTGTTTCGTGTGTCACAGGAAAGGTTAGGGTCAGGAAGAACTGCTAGCCAGTGTTATGGGGTTTTGATCATCCCTCTGTTGTGATCCAACCTCACACGTCGTCAAGCCACATGCGCCTGACTGAGCTAATCTGCCGAAGCACCGTGTGCTTCATTCTCCAGACACCATCACCAGGAGAACAAAGGTCTGTTCCCTTTGACTAGCAGAACTCTGTCCCAAGATGTGCCAAGGGACCAAACATGTTTGGGCGTCTCTCTGAAAGCCACTGAACTCCTGTCATCACCCCTGTGGGTGCTGGCTACCCACGCTGCACCATTTTATCCCCCTTTCATCTCTTTCTTCAAAAAACAACAAAACAATGGCATGACAACGAGAGGATTAGAGGGATCGCGCCTGGCGCATTTCCGCTGTTTTGGTCTCATAGAGGATATAAACTTGCAAAAAGCTAGTTGGCGGTCGTCTATCTCTCACGGGCCCGGCGTCTGACGGGAGGTTCCGCTCGTTTGTTTCTGCCCTTCATTCCAGCGACTGCTGCTGCTGCTATTTCAGCATCTGCATGGGGCAGCCGATTCCAGAGAACGCGAAACCGCATTGAGACTCCAGTTTAAATACAGCACAGAGACGGTCATACTGAGCAGCGAACGAGCGAGAATATCCGACCTCGTATTCAACCAGGCTCCTCCCTCTCACATTAGCTATCTCACTTACACTAATACCTGGACTATAAACATTAATATACGATATTAATCAAATAAGTAGCTGAATGCCCTCTATCCTCCGTTTCATGTTCACTTTGGTGGTTCTTCAAAGAAATGAAACTGAGGCATCAGGGTGAGGATTACAGAGACGGTGTTTGCTGGCTGTGTTCTGAGTGTCATTAAGACTCAATAGGCCGGCGCCCCCTGCTGATGTGAGCGGTGACAGCGCTCACCGCTCTCTAGTGACAGTGCTCACCCAGGAGGCCTGGCTGACATGCATTAAGAGGGACCGTCCGTCACTGCGGACTACAGCCAGATGAAGCCACACACACACACATCCTGCAGATGCAGAAAGTGTACACAGCACCCTAGCGGCCTACCAGTTAATATTCAACAAATAATTGGTGGGCAATAAAAAAAAAAAAAAAAAAAAAATCAACAAAACAGTAGCGAGACCACTAGGATCTCAGTACCCATTCACCGCTAAACATCCCAGTTCCCGTGAGAACACTGCAGCTTGTTGGGGTGGGGGGGGGTCGGGTCAGTCTAAAAACACAAAAAAAACAGGTGCTATTACCGGACTTAACAGCACTTGCTCTCAGACAAACTATGTTAAAGGAACAGTGTTCAAGCCACACAACCTGGCCTTCTGCAGACCCGAAGAGCTTTGAAAAATGTCTAAAATTGTTTCTTCTGTGACAAAGAGCAGTGACACCACTGTGAGATAGTCTGTCAAATTTCCAGGACCCTTTTCCAGGCTGTCACTGGATCCAGTGGAGCTTAAGAAATCCATGGCTGATCTGCGGAATAAAACGCTAATTAATCATAACGGAACGGATGGCTGGACACACTGCTCTCAGTGGACCACTGACGTTCGTCACCAAGCCTATGTGGTATGTCCCTTCTACCAGCTACGTCTAATGGCCACACAAAGGGTTGTTTTCTTATGGCGACTACGTTTCTCACTCAATTTGCCACTGCGAAAGAAAGTTACAGAAACAGAGGAAAATAAACATTACAGAACAAAAAACGAGAATGTGTAATTCCATTGCAATATCCCGATCTGCATCCTCAGGTCTAAATTAATTACCATTATTTTTTTTATCTGAAGTCCAGATGAATGCTTAACACTAGGGATTTCAGAGTGCAGCTGTGTTTAACATTTAATTTCTGGGCTGCTACATTTCAGCATTAATGCTAATTCAGTCTGATATCCAGATCTCTCCCATGCATGTCTATCACGGGGATCAAGGTAATAGACTGCGTCACTCTTTGTGCTCCCAGGACAGCACAGATCCACAACGGGCAATTTCACAGTTGCATTTATACACATCTGTGATCCTTAGGGTCCCAGTCCAAAGACTATTGAAATGGAGATCTTTTCATGCCGTGATAGCTAGAGATAGGGTTATTTATATTATGACACCTGCAGTGCATGTGGAAACCCCACGAAAGAGCCAGCCGTGCAAAAATGTCGACGGGTATTTTAAATCACTTGCCCAAAGAGGCCGGCCCATATTTTCCAAAAGAAGAATCCTCGCAAACGCAGATGAAGAATAGGATGCGGTCCGATGG